TCGCAGTGTGTATCAATTGAAAACAATAAATCTAGTTTTCTAGAAATCTCGTCTGGAGTACCCCAGGGGTCTGTTTTGGGTCCCTTGTTGTTTTTGATATATATTGCTGATCTGCCTAAGGCTGTGAGTTTTTGTGAACTCCAGTCTTTTGCGGATGATACTCAACTGGTCCATTATTTTGATACTTGATATGGAAATGGCACAGACATCAATAAACCATGATATTCAAAAAGTGTATGACTTCTTGAATAACCACAACCTGTCAATAAATCCTGGTAAATCCAGCCTGTTATTTTTTTGTTCGGATCGTAGGAGGGAAGAAATTAAAAGTCGATTAACTATTAAAATTGGATCTCATCGACTGTACCCCGTTGACGAGGTTAAAATTCTTGGCGTGATAATCGATTTCAAACTTAGATTCACCAGTCATGTTAAAAATCTTTTGAAGAAAACCTACTTGAGACTAAGATCACTATATGCCAATAAAGCAATTTTCAATTATAAGCTAAGGAAAAAACTGTATTCATCTTTGGTTATGCCGATTTTCAACTACTGTGATATTTTATATTATCCGTGTCTCAATGTTGTTACTAGAAATCGGATTCAAATTGTGCAAAACAATTGCGCTAGGTTCATCTGCGGTTTAAGGCGCTTTGACCCTGTTTCTGGTAGTTTTATTGAATTAAACTGGATGATAACAAAAAATATTGTCAAATATCATTACCTTGTTTTTATTCATAAACTAATCCTTATGTCAAAACCTATATACTTAAGAGAAAAGCTGATCTTTAGGCGTAATATTCATCATAGACTTATTAGATTTCCAGATTTGATAACTACACCTATTCACTCCACTGCTTTATTCCAGCGTTCTTTCACGTACAGGGCTTCAGTGTTATACAATGCCTTGAGTCCTGAATTCAAAACCATGTCCTTAAATTGCTTCAAGAAAGCTGTCAAATCTCATATTTACTTGGATCCATAGTCTTAATTAGATTGCTATAGATATATTGTTAAATGATTCATTTCCCTTGTGTACATGTAGCAAACCTTGGTGCAACATGTACGTATGTAATGTGTGTATATGTATGTATGTATGTACATGTGTATGTATATATGTATATTTTGTTTGATATCTGCTACTTAACAACTTGTTTTTTTTTGCATGGGTGGTTAAGTGTAAGAGTAGCATGTTGCTAAACTTCGCCACCATATGCAACTCTTGTTTTTCTGTATGAAGTGCAGTTTAAATAAAGACGATTATTATTATTATTATTATATATTTGTTTCAATTTTTATCAATATGCAACAATCTTTTTTGACAGGGGTACTCAGCGTTATTTTACAGAATTGGTACACAAACGTCAAACCTTTGGGAAAGACTGAGGTATATGGAAAAGTTCACACAATCGATGATTGATGAATCATTTATAATGCGGCAATTTGGGTGAGCCCTTTGTTAGTATTGACGCAGATCTAAGTGCGACCCTTTTTTGAAGAAGAAGAAGAAGAAGAAGAATTTTCTTCTTTATTCACGGTCTACGTTTGTCTTAAATTTTGGCAATATTGTCAGTGTTTCAGTCTTAATTCCAACTAGTCTGCTGAGTCTACAATTACTTTCGAGTTATTACCTAGATGAGGCTGATTGTGATGTTTACAATTCACTTGTCTCGTGTATTTTCTAATTATCTGCTAAATCTTACCTTAGATTATATTAAATCCCCAAAATAAAAAATACGTAGTTAAACGAATTTCTGTCACCACCAACACTTATTTAAAAGAAAACATACTGGTTGCTCTCCCGATGTGCTAATGAAGCCTTTCAAAGTACACCAGTGCAGTGGCTCGCACTCGAGTATTTTCTAGTGATATTCCACCACTACCCAAAAAATGGCTTCGTGATAGTTGACTCCACATTTCCCACGCTACTCCACCACCAGTTAATAAAGGATCTAAGTAAAACAGTGACATTACAGGATCAAATCCGTCACAGGTCCATACAATTAATCCATAAAATCTTTTCTCTGTCCTACCCGCAGTTCCGTTTCTTTAAGCGCCCCATAGTATTCGCAGTACCCTGGTATCTGGGCTTGAATTTGAGACAGCAAACAAATAACACACGAAACGCTTGGACGTCATCGAAAATTGTTATTCCAGAATGGACCGCATCACAGGCGATATTTGAAAAAGCTGTGCATCAGGAATAGTTTTTTTCCTCGGTGATAAAGATAAACTGGTTAAGTTTATTGTTCTCATATTATTTCTTTTAATAATAATAAAATGTCTTTATTAGGCACATTATATACACTACAACATAATGTGACCTCTTCGTAGGCGAAGTCTAGCTCTTGGCTACTCTACTTAACCTACCCAAATACTAAATTGAAACACTCAATCAAAGGAAACTTTGACAAGCAAAAGACGCTTCAAAACAACGAGCTTGATAGCTTCCTAGCATACATATATACACACATATATTACGAAAATAAAATAAAATGTAAGAATTAAAAACTAACTTTTCCACAATTACTACAATGACAAATAAATCTGTTTCACATGCTTACGAAATCAGTTTACTGGCCAATCCTTTATATTGTCATCTAATTCGTTATAAATCAGGATAGCATTGTAAGTGTATGAACTACGAAATAAAGTTGTTTTATACATAGGGATCTCTAGTCTTTTTTTGTGTCTGAAATCAATGTCTGAATTATTTCGTCTGAAAACAAATTTCTCATAAAGATACAAGGGGGATCTAGAAGATATGATCTTATGTGTAAACACTGCTATATGGTAGTTACAAGCATTTTCTATACACATCCAACCAAGCTGAAATCTCTTTAAAGAAACATGATCATACTTCTTGAGATTAAATACAAATCGACAACAAGTATTTTGGAGTTTTTGGAGTCTTGCTTTTGTGATAGAATCAAGACAATGATAGAACACAGTGCTACAGTAAAATAAGCTTGGAAATATAATAGCCTCACATAACTTTTTTCTAACTTTAAAATTCAAAATAGAGCGATTGACATAAAAACACTTCAACGTTGCATTACATTTTTTTAAGATAGACGAAACATGCTCCTTAAACCGTAAAGTATAATCAATAATCAACCCTAAATTTTTTGTAGTATTTACGACAGCTAGACGCTCCTTGTCAATTTTTACATCAAGAGAATACAATATAGTGTTACGTTTGACAGCAGGACAAAAAAGCATCACTGAGCACTTATCCTTATTGAGCTTAAGATTGTTACCATTTGAGTATCCTACTATTGCCTCCAAATCATCATTAAGCTCATTGATTGAAGTATGCAAAGTGTTACTATTAAAGCTCTTATAAATCTGTGTATCATCGGCATAGCACATCACAGAAGAGTTTTTCACAAAGCTACCCAAGTCTATAGTATAAATTAAGTTCAACAAGGGCCCTAAAACTGAACCCTGAGGGACACCTGATGTTATATCAATCGGACTAGATATAGTGTTGTCTATCTCTACTACTTGTTTACGATTTGAAAGATATGTTATAAAAAACATTAGAGGTATGTCTGAAAAACCAAAAAACTTCAATTTAGCACATAAAAGCTCATGATCTATTTTATCGAACGCCTTAGAATAATCTAATGATACAAGTGCTGAAGCATCTCCCTTATCAAGCGAAGCAATGATGTCATCTAAAACCCTTGCTAAAGCTGAAGTTGTACTAAAACCACTGCGGAAACCAGATTGACACTTTGGAAAGAAATCATTATTAGAGAAATAATGATAAACCTGATGTTTAATCAATTTCTCCAATATCTTCGATATAACAAGAATCAAAGTTATAGGTCTTAAGTCTGAGAGACATTTTGGATTTTTACATTTAGGCAAGGGCTTGACAAGAGATAGTTTCCAAGCATCAGGGAAATACCCAGCCTCCAGGCAACAGTTCAATAAATGCGTCAGGGGTAGTAATACTCGAGGCAAGCAAAGCTTCAGCATTGAGACTGTTATACCATCCGAATCTGCTGCATTAGATTTTAGGGACAGAATAATGTCTAGCACATTTTGTGGGGTAGCAAAACTAAATTCAAATCTAGCACTTCCATTAATTTTGGTACTATTAAATTTATCAACTAGATCCTTGCAATTGCCAGAAGGCGTGAAAACGGAAGAAAAATAATTGTTTACTTCATCGGCATTCTTCAACTGTGTAGGTAAAGATCTATGTACATTAGTTTTGAGTTTCAATGAATGTACAACTTTCCAGAGATGTTTGTTACTATTTAGTTGTTCATTGAAGCTTAGATATGCTGCTTTCTCCCGCCTAATAGCGGAAATGACATCATTTCTTAATTACTGGTAATATTCGAGACTAGCTGGAATTTTTAAAATCTGATATTTTCTAAAGGCTTTATTTCTCTCGGAGATCAAAAATTTTATGCCACCTGTGAGCCATGGAGCATAAGGTTTAGTAATACGTGATGAAACAACAGGAGCATGGACATCAAACAAATCCAAAATATGATTAGAAAAAAACGTAGCTTTATCCTCTAAGTTAGTGATGTAATATATATCGTCCCATGGGATTTTATACAAATCCACCAAAAACTGATCTTTATAACAGTGTTTAAAGTCTCTATATTTGACAGTCTTTTGAAAATTCTTAGGCCGTGTGAAGTTGAAGTCACATCTGACTACATTATGATCTGACAAATTCGGAACAGGTACAGAGCTAGTTGAAATTAATGATTCAGCTAAGTTTGTTGTACAAATGACATCTATGGAGGTTGCCGTGGTTAAAGTTATCCTAGTTGGTTGGGTGATGTGAGATACCATATCGTAGCATGCAATGCAATCTAGAAAAGAATGGTCAGTAATTTGATCAACGTTTATATCACCCAGCAAGCATATATTATCATTCTGAGGAGACACAAATGAGAGAAAGTTGTCTATATGATCAATAAAACTTGATAATCTGCTCGAAGGAGCTCTGTAGATAACACAAACTAAAATTTTTAGATTATTCAACACTATTTCAGCACAAACCTGCTCCATACCATTTTGAAAGAAGTACTTTCATAGCTTCTCCACGTTACGCCAATGGTCGTGTAGCATATCATGTGACATGTATATCACGTTAGCCTGTGTTCCTGGAATAACAAAAGGGAGGGCTAGCTGGTATTTAGTCCAGTCATTGTGGGTTATGGAGGTGTAGCTCTCATGGAACAATAACAAAAGGTCTTGTTTATCATGGATTTAATACTAAGAATACTGTACTATTTTTGTCTTGGCAATCGTCCAGTTCATCCTTAGATCAGACACAAATGCCAATAATATTTTGCCTATATCTAGCGCATGCTCCTAAGATGCCTGGTTTCAACGTTATGAGGATTTGTGAGTTTTTTCGCAGCAGTTATGTCACCTATGTCTTTCTGCGTTTCGTGTTTTGTATCTACAATGGTCGTATGGCTCAGATTAAACTTTTCTTCTAGCTCCTGAAATGTCAACAACACGTTAGATAGATTGATATATACTATAAGAGCGTATTGTTTACCTGTAGTAATACTGTCATTCCTGTTGGGCCTTTCAAGTAACCTTTGAGCGGGGACCTCAGGTTCTACAACTGGAAACAAATTCAAATATAAGTTTCAGCACTCGAAGATCGACAAATGTACGAGGGTGGTCCCAGAAGTACCCGACCCAACGAAGAAAATACAAAATTTTTGTAAAAAGTGTATTTATTTTTCAACATAATCTCCTTTGAGCTCTATACACTTTTCCCAGCGATGTTCCCTTTTTATAATAAGAAGTCTTGCTCCTCAAAATAGCCATTAACTGCCGACATCACTTCTTTATCGTTGGAAAATATTTGACCACTGAGCCATTTTTTCAAGTTGAATTTTCTTCACCATTTCTGGAGTCGTCACCTCATTCGGTCGACCACTGCGATGCTCGTCTTGGCAGCTCATACGGCCCCGTTTAAACTCTGCTACCAATATCTTACTATTGTAAACGAAGGAGCAGACTCACCCAGAGTAGTATCCAGTTCAGCTTTTATATTGGTTGGGCTGAGGCCTTTGAAATAAAAGTATTGTACCACATAACGATGACCACTTTTCTCCATTTTCACAAATTCACTGAAAACGTTCAGTATTGATGGCTGCCAAACAAATACTAAACAACGTGGCGTCTTCAAACTTGACACATATGCTTTATAGGTTGCATACTTTCTAATACAATGATATTTTTCAAACGACTATCGCCATCTCTAGGTCAGGCCGGGTACTTCTAGGACCACCCTCGTATACGGATACCTGGGCGGTGTTGCCAAGCTGCCATAAAATATTTATAAAACGCTACATTTATGCTGAGCAGAATGGAGTTCGGCTCTTTTCACGGTTTTTTGTGGTTACATCAGAAAGTGATACGAACAAATCGTCTTAGGGCCCAGCTGTCTAGATATATCGCGATCATGTCAGATAGACCCCCGATTGGTGAAACAAGCAATTTGAGGTTAGTAATTTCCGACTAAATCGTGTTTAGACGCCATCAGCTGTTTTGAGGACTCCATATTTATATAAGTTACAATTCATCATTTTTTGTCCAAATCAGGAAAATTGTTCCAATTAGTGGTTTGTCTATATGGGGGTAATTGAGTGCAATAATAATAATGATAATACTTGAGTTCATATATAAAATATCATTCACTAAGCTACGTTCTTCCACTATCTACTATCGATTTTTTTATTTGAGCTTTAAATATCGATACTGATGTTATCATATGTCTAAGACATTAATTGATTTTGAAGTTTTAAGATGTCGTATAAATTAGAAATAAGAAAAAGTATCAACAAGTTGGTATTCAAAGCTGAAATCTGTCGAACATTCCAGAATTATAACATTTCACGCATAGCCATTTATTGCTGGTTAACGAAGTTAACTAACATGTTACGGTTGATCTGGCAACGCTGCCTCTACTTCTGAAACATCGTGTTTTGTGGCGTTCGATGTTTGTGTGCCGCGAAACTCATGTCAAGTTAAAAAGGTTAGGAATTGCGGTGTTACTACAACTTTCTAGATAAATAGTAAATGGTCTTCTGGTTAAAGTTTGCTATCGTTTTTAATTATACATTTTAAGAGTGTACTTCTGGTTAGCTATAAAAACACATTGAAAACCGGGCCTAAGAGTAAAAAATTAGACTTTAACAGTAAAACAGTTCTTTTTAAGAATATTGAAAATTATTATTTCTATTCTACTATTTTTTATGATAAGTATAAAAATCTGAATAGTTACTTGAACAGTCATCTGAAAGCTGCTCTCCGTCTATAATAATAAAGTCTTCCTTGAAGCTGTATGAAGTCCTCCTTGTCGATTTGTAGGTTATGTCCTTCACATCATTTTGGTTGTAGATATTTACTGGCACTGTAACTACAAATTAATGATTACGCCTTTTAAATATGTAGCAGACAAAATCTTTGTCAAAGGTTGTAAACGAAACCGTGAAATAGCAAATAGCACATTCACCAGGATATCGGTTCTTATTGGCATCCCATTCACCATATTTTTGAAAATACTTTCGCCTTTCCGAAGAACTGATCATGAATGGAAAGATTAAATTGCGATAATTCGTAAATATATATTGTTATGTATTGTGTTTTACTAATGGAAAAAATGAGGGATCAAATAAAAATTGTAAATTTTTAGTGATGTATCGCAGTAAAAAATGGTCGTATTGAGGTTTTAAGGGAGCATTTTAAAGCCTCAGTATATGTCTAGTTTTTTGATGTTTTGATCACAACGTCTCCACACAATTTTTGGAAATGGTGAGAAGAAAAAACTTCTTTTCTTCAGGTGTACAGGCTTGGATTTTTTTTTTAACTACGATCATCTCTTAATGAGATATTTAATTTTTAACAAGAAAGAACCCTTTTGGCTTTGACTGTCGATATCTCGGACACCAATCATCGTACAGAAAATTTAAGGATAGTTGTAAAAGCTGATAGGATCACTTATGGAAACATTTATTCCGCATCGAAAAAAAAAACAGGAAAAAGAGGGTAATTTATGTATTTTTTGAAAACCAAGATCTAAATTGTAAGTATTGACAAAATGGCCATAGTTGAGCTGAGCTTTTACAGCCATATATGAGCCCCTTCCCACTTCAGTTGGCCCAACTATTGAAATCTTAGTTTTTTTCTTATCAAACACAATAAAAATGTAGCAGGGTGTAATACATTTTTTAATTCTGGGAAATCAAACTCAGAAATTGCAACTTTGTTAGACTTATCGCGGTACAGTGTTAGAAATATTGTTAGAAGATATAACGTAACTGGTTCAGTTAATATTAATAGTTAAACAGGCGTGCCAATTATTGACAATTGAGTGCTCTGTGGAGTGATCCTGTTGGAAGGAGAATTTCGAGGTCCACAACTCATAGAGAGGCCCACAAACTGGGCACTTGCAAGGTAAGTTTTCTTATAAAAAAAAGTGAAGTGAAAACCCTAAAGTTGCACAAGTTGTTTATAGGCCAAAGAAAAGCCACTATTAACTCCACTGCAAAAGAAAAATCGGCTTATATGGGCTAAAGAACATAGACAATGGACACCTCAACAATGGTGTGCAATACAATGGAGTGATGAGGCCCGATTCGAAGTTTGTGTTGGTGACAGTCGCAGTAGAGGTATTCGCAAAAAAACGAAGCATTCCTTGTTGACTGTCTGAAGAGAAAAGTGAAATTTCCAGCATCCATTATGGTCTGGGGCAGTATGTCTTCAAAAGGTGTAGGAAAACTTCATTTTATTGATGGAAATGTGGATACAAACAAATATTTGGCAATTCGAGAAGCATCGCTTTTACCAGTGATGGAAGAATGTTTGACATCCGGCCAAGATTTTGTGTTTCAGCAAGATGGCGCAGCGTGCCATACCTCAAAAAAGGCTATAAAATGGATGAAAGAAAATAATGTACCACTTTTGAAATGGGTTTCTAGCAGTCCAGATATGTCACCTATTGAAACTTTGTGGCACGAGATGAAAAAGGTTCTACGACAACATCCTGCTCGTACAATCACCGAAATGAGACAAAAGCTTCAAGAAATATGGGATTGTTTTACACCAAATTTTTGCCAAAGCTTGGCTAACACTATGCCCCAAAGAATTTCAGCCGTAATAAAAAATAAAGGTGATGTTACCCAATGGTAATCTTTCAATTGTTGCTTTGTTAACTTTGCGCATTTATTCGCGCATTGTTCAGATGTTCTATTAGTTATAGGTCTAAGTGATTTCAAATATGTATTTTTTACGACTGGACTGTATCTAAAATGTTTTTGAGAAAATAAATTGTTTTAGAAGTAAATAGTTTCGTTTCACAATAACCATGTAACATTTCACTTTAATCTACCCAGGCTTTTTTTGGCTTTAAACACAGTTTTGGCAAAAATTGAATGGTAACGGTTATTGTGCTTATAAACGGCATTCAAATTTGAGGAAAATAGCCCTTTTAAAAATTTTTGACGCTTTTATAAGAAAAATCTGAAAAAAAATGTTTACAATTTTGCACCAATAAAGATGGCCCTTAATTTGACGCTCAAGTCCGTCATGTTGTTAATTTTGTAATTTTGCCGTTGGTTTGCCGAAAATCCATGAAAAACCCTTTCTGACCTTTTTCGAGTCCCTACAGTGGATGAAAAGATTTTTTTCCATAAGCTATCATTGATGTCTTTAGAACCTGTCCCAGCTTCTGAGGCCACCCTTAGATGTTCAGGACACGAATTGAAAAGGGGTCCCTTTCCATTTCTCAGGATGAAGTAGTCATACCAAGGAAAAAAGAAAATTGCTGAATGAACAAAGTTCGTGAGTCTAAGTTAAAATAAAAAAAAATGCATTTTTTCTTCGCAGTGTTACGAGCATTGCGAGAAACCTACAGCTTCAATTTTTTGTTGATCTACTGTAACTTGTCCAATTTCTGAAAATACAGGTAGATACACTGTTGTTCCATCTGGCGGAAAGCGCTACAACTATCGTTTCTCGTCTCCCAATATACGAGGAAAATCAATAAGCTCCGCTGTTATTACGAAGCGTCCTTGATTTTCGTCCAGTCTAAAAAAGTTAGTACATTCGCCTAAGGATAGGTTGGAGATCTTGTTCTGCATGACGAAGTATATGGAGGTGCCTGGATTACACTTTGATATTTCCGTGAATTTTTTCTAATAATAGCTCATATCCGTGTTCGATTCAGTTTTCGCTCAAAATTAATGTTCTACTTACCAGTCTGTCCCGTTAGATTTCCGCAATAATTCCTTCCGTTAATAATGAGGGTGTCTCCTTGGCAGTCGGTATTGAAGTATCGGAAAAACAGTCGGAATTTGCATACCTCCTGAATTCAAAAAGAAAGATAGTTGTAAGTTGAGGAAGAAATTTAAATTCCAATTATTCTAGCCATTGCTATTTTTTTAAGTCTCAAAGTACCCGACCCGCAGGAGTATTACTTAGCAAATCGAAATAATGTCATTAAATATATTTATATATATATATATATACAGGGTGACTTTGAAGTTGAGTCATTAATTTTCAGATAATGATTGTAGAAGGAAGATAAACCAAAATATGTGTGTAAAAATAAAAAAAAAATTAAAAAAATTTTTTACCTTGTTTTATAAAGTATCCTCCCGACAAATATTTCAGTGCGGACCTGTATTTGATCGTGAGGTCCCCTGTGAGGTCTTAAGTCAAATGATTCACGAGCCCGTTGTACTGCATTAACAAAGGCACGAGGGGTTGCTTGCACTCGATTGGGAAACCGATCCGCATAAACATGTGCCATTTTTTATTTCGTTTAAGCCACGCAACATACCACTATTCACTAACACTGACTGTATACAAATGAATGAAATACTTATAAAAACGTCGTTCCAAATTCTTTCGCTTTTTTGTTTCCGATGCGATGAACCGATACGGCGGATTATATCCGTTGTCGCCAAACACGACCACATAATATTGTTATTGAGACAGGGCGGTACTCAAACTTCCAAAGGGCTATAACTTTGTTACTTTAATTTTACCAGGAAAATGGTAAAGGAAAAAAACATTTCTTTTGATCAGATCTACTCACTGTTAAAATAAATGACTCAACTTCGAGGTCACCCTGTATATATAACTTGAGACGTGGTCATTGTCGTCTAGACCAGTTAGGTGAAAAATTAAAGCTTCCGCCTTTTGTTGGGTACTTCGACAAAATTTAAGCAAAGGGGACTCTTTATACTTTTTTTAATTCTCTCTAGCTTTCAATGGACTTTGCCATCATCATCAGGAGCTGCACTTACAATGATAACGGTAGCAACAAAAGTGTAAAATGAATTTAAATTGAATCAACTTACAGTAGTATGTGAGGATGTTGCTAATTGTTGTTTACGTATAGGATGAGGGAAACGTCCAGTAACATGGTGAGAGCTGGATAAATGGTACAATGGTTAAAATTATATAAAATATGACAAGACAAGTTAAAGACAGATTAAAAATTATTTAAAAAACATTTGAGCATTACGTCGTGAAGCCACTTGATGATTGCACAAAATGGTGGTCATGGAATAATGAGTGAGATGAACCTTTGACAGAAGGCCGAAGGTTGTCAATGTCTGTGTTGAAAGATGGAACGAATTGTGGGCGTGTGATAAACGTTGCCAAATCACTTCAGATGATGTGATTTTCAGAATGTTATGTAAGAAATTGTTAAACCGACCAGAGGCAGTTGAATAAACTATATTTTAATTAATGGGAATTTTAAATTAACAGTTATTAATAAATCGTGAGAAGAGAATTATTAGATTTTGAGTGGAATGAAATTTGTTAGTGGAATCGGCCAAAACACATGTGGGACATTTCCAGGAATAAACGTTTGGAAAGGTGTTTTTCTTTATCAAGAACTTTGATACTTGTGTAATTCATAGAATGCCCTGTTGTGTTAACATGAGATGCTAGAGCGCATCTTTCAGGATGAAGCCTAGCATTTTCATGAATAACAACTGTATCAACAAAAAGACAGATGTTAAACAACTGAGTGTCATTTACTCATATTTGCTAAACTGCGAAAAATTGGAGAACTTACATATCTCCCCAAATTTCGACTTTTCACAACCATAAATATAATCTGTGTTTTGGCCGATTCCACTAACAAATTTCATTCCACTCAAAATCTAATAATTCTCTTCTCACGATTTATTAATAACTGTTAATTTAAAATTCCCATTAATTAAAATATAGTTTATTCAACTGCCTCTGGTCGGTTTAACAATTTCTTACATAACATTCTGAAAATCACATCATCTGAAGTGATTTGGCAACGTTTAGCACACGCCCACAATTCGTTCCATCTTTCAACACAGACATTGACAACCTTCGGCCTTCTGTCAAAGGTTCATCTCACTCTTTATTCCATGACCACCATTTTCTGCAATCATCAAGTGGCTTCACGACGTAATGCTCTAATGTTTTTTAAATAATTTTTAATCTGTTTTTAACTTGTCTTGTCATATTTTATATAATTTTGACCATTGTACCATGTATCCAGCTCTCACCATGTTACTGGACGTTTCCCTCATCCTATACGTAAACAACAATTAGCAACATCCTCACATACTACTGTAAGTTGAGTCAATTTAAATTCATTTTACACTTTTGTTGCTACTGTTATCATTGTAATTGCAGCTCCTAATGATGATGGCAAAGTCCATTGAAAGCTAGAGAGAATTAAAAAAAGTATAAAGAGTCCTCTTTGCTTAAATTTTGTCGAAGTACCCAACAAAAGGCGAAAGCTTTAATTTTTCACCTATATATATATATACGTAGTCATGCCATAAGTTCTGTCCCTCGTTTTCAAACAAGTGTAGACCTGTTAATACTTGTCCGATTGTTTACATTGTGGTGTCAGTTGATTAAGCGCTTTTCGGGTAATTACATATACCTCAGTTTGTATTGATCTCTCGAAGCATAACGATGGAGTGGGGCAAGGCAGAGAACCGTATTGCAGTGATAGCTTTACATAAGTGTAATCACAGTGCTAGTCAGATTTTTGAACTCTTACGCGGCCTTCAAATATCGCGTAAATTTGTGTCTAGGACCATTCAGCGGTACAATGAGACGTCCTCTGTTGATGACAGGCCAAGAAGCGGAAGACCTCGTCAAGTAAGGACTCCAGCAGCCATCAAAGCCGTAAAAGCCAGGATTCAAAGGAATCCACTCCGGAAGCAGAAGATCCTATCCAGGGAAATGAAGATTCCTGTCCGGACGATGTCGCGCATCATTAAACAAGACCTAGGGCTAGGGGCTTACCGGAGACGTACGGGCCAGCGACTTACGGCCACCTTGCGACACATCAGGGCGACAAGATCCAAGAAGCTCTTGGAGAGGTACGCAGCTGGGGGATTCCGAAAGATTTTGTTCACGGATGAGAAAATCTTCACCATAGAAGAAAAATTCAACCGACAAAATGACAAAGTGTATGCAAGGAGTTCACAGGAAGCTTCGGAGATCATTCCGAGAGTTGAGAGAGGCCACCACCCTGCGTCAGTCATGGTTTGGTGGGGGGTGTCCTACGAAGGGGTCACTCAGCTCCATTTCTGTAAACAGGGCGTGAAAACAAAAGCGGCAAACTATCAGAGCGACATACTGGATCCTATCGTCAAGCCTTTAAGTGGTACATTGTTTGCCAACCAACACTGGGTCTACCAGCAGGATTCCGCCCCCGCTCACAAGGCTAAGAGTACGCAGCGCTGGCTGGAAAGCAATGTGCCAGAGTTCATTGCTGCGGAAGATTGGCCCTCAGGGAGTCCGGACCTCAATCCTTTAGACTACAAGTTGTGGGACCTGCTAGAGCAGTTGGCCTGCTCCAAAGCCCACCGTAATATCGAGTCCCTGAAAGCGGATTTGATCCGATCAGCGGCAGCTATTCCTTTGGAAGCTGTGCGTGCAGTGATAGATGAGTGGCCCGCGAGATTGAAGCAGTGTGTGAAGGCCAAGGGGGGACATTTTGAATAAAACTGTTTGATTATGAATTCTAAAAATGTTGTCGAATAAATAATATCTTTCATATAAATATATCTTATCTTGTTTCATTTTTATCATGAGATTATCATGGGACAGAACTTATGGCACGACTACGTATATATATATATATATATATAGAGAGAGAGAGAGCGAGAGAAAATGATCATGTGGAGAACGGTATATAAAAAAAATAGGGAACAAGTGGACAAAATCGGCAAAAAAAAAGGAAAGTGGATTCCAGCAGAAAATAGGATAGGTACCCCGAGCGATACGTATTTCTGCTGGTTGGCTTCATCAGGCCCGACATGTAGATCCTTTGGCCTTGAAGTACCACAGCAACGTGGTTGTGGTTAGATGTGTCCTTGAAACTTCGAGGTCTTCTGGCCATTTTATACTACAACGTGTAGGTTGGCTCTTGTTGTGGACTTCGTGTGTGATTTTTTCCCTCTCCATCTTCGTTTCCTCAGGTTACACAATGTATGGGCATGTGTATCTGCTTTTGTAGTTACATATGTGCATTCATTTCGGGTCTGATGAAGCCAACCAGCAGAAATACGTATCGCTCGGGTTACCTATCCTATTTTCTGCTCGAATCTACTTTCCTTCTTTTTGCGGATTTTGCCTATTAGCTTCCTATTTTTTGTTATATACCTCTCTCCGCATACTATGCTCAAAAAATCTTAAAATCATGTTTTGACATTACATAGGTTTTTTGTGACATTGTGTAGGTTTCCCTATTAGAGGTCAACTTGGCCTAGCTGTTGTTCACTTGATGTGCACTCGTTGTGTAGTTGTACGTGTTGCCTAAACGTCATGACGCTTGGCTCTGATGTGATGTAACAGCAAGTTGGCATTTTGTCGGTTTTTTTGTCATTACACTTATCGTAGGCTATTTATAATCATCACAGTGGCTACCATTCACGGTATAAATATCTTCATTTCCCAATGCAACAACACTGAATTATTTAACATGTTATTTATCCAGAATTGTTCGTTTTACTGGATCACAAAATTCTGGGTTGTCCAGTGCTACTTACCTCGGACGATTTGAAAAGTCTAAAGTGACACATGTCAAAGCGGCCGTCCACTCGTATCGAGAACCTCTTCTCCCTGATGACTGCATCGCAAGATGTAGGCTTTTCCCTGGGAATGGGCGTGGGAAAAGGGGTGGGGGCGATTTCAGTGGTCGGATTAATTGGGTTGTATGGCTGTTGACAGGCAATCTGCTCGAACAGACCGGTGAATCCCCGGCCGCACCAAAACGAATCCGACACGAATCGGATGACTGCGTATTGCGTTGCGGTTAAGTCCAGTGTTACTGCGGATATATGAAAAATTACAAATCAAAAAACGTCATTCCTTCAAAGTAAAGTTTTAATTAAAAAAAGCATTTGAGATATAATATAATAATTGAAGACTGTAATTTGTAAGTTGTTCTGGAATATGTCACTGGCTTTTGACATCTGACTGATCTCTGTTATTTAAACCTGTTCGCTGTGACATCTTTTTTATTATTTAGTTTTTACAATTTTACAATGGCGGAAATGCATTGGCCTTGCCGACGGTAATGGTGAGCAAGCCAGACGGATTTATCACCAGAGATATCCCGATCGTGCTTTGCCAGATCGAACGTTTTCTAATATTCATCGTCGTCTTGTTGAAACTGGTTCTGTCCGAAAAGGAACATCTGAAGGTAGACCTCTGTTTGGAGAATTTTAGTGGATTTTTTGTTATATCCTCACCATATTTTCCAAGGCGTGTGACCTTTCGTCAGCGGTACCTTCAAAAAATTACACAAAATCCGCAATTTGAATCAATGATTCTGTTCACGGACGAAGCTAATCTTTCTCGAAACGCCATTCAGAATTTCCACAATAATCATTTGTGGGCAGAAGAAAATCCCTATGCCGTAACCCAAACCCATTTCCAACACCAATTTTCGGTTATCGTATGGGCAGGAATTATTGGCAACCACTTTATTGACCCAACATTATTTTCAGCGTCGAAGCACATTTCCAACAATGGGTATGTAAACAAACAAAATTGTCGGATTTGGGATGAGGAAGGTTTACACCCACCAAAAGTCACTGTTTGGTGTGTGTGATCTTTGGAGTGGTGGAGTGATTGGCCCTTACTTGTTCGAAGATGACGCTGGACATAATAATATGTCTTCATTTTTAGTTAAAAGAACAACAAAGAAGAAAGCTCATTTGACGATGGAGGCAGAATTCAACATAGTTGCTCTTCCATGCTCTTACTGTGAATGATCTTCGATACCGACGAACGTTACAAGATTTTTTGTGACCTGAACTGAACAATATTGATGCCCAAGACATTTGGTTTCAACAGGATGGAGCAACCTGTCGTACATCACGAAACACAATCCAGTTATTTAATGGTAAAGTTACCTCTAGAAACAGACCTGTTAACTGGCGCGATGTGACGCACTTGGACTTCTTCCTTTGCAGCTATGTTAAAAGTAAAGTCTACAGGAAGAATCCCCAGGCGATTTAATCATTGAAAGAGGAAATAACCCGTGTAATCGCTGAGATAGGGCCGCAATTATGATGTGTCCGTTTTATCGAGAGGTCATTTGCAAGAAATCATTTACCACACATAATTTTCTTGTATTGCCATACATGAATCTTTCATTTTAAATATATACTAAGTGACATTCGGGACCTCGGTTGGCCGCGTGGGTCAGAGTGTCGTGCTACTGATCAGCCGGCCGGCCGGGCCGCGAGTTCGAATCTCGCCTTTGCCATGGATGTTGTGTGTTTGTTTTAGGCAGCAGCGGTGGCCGCAGTAGTAGACCCTTCGGTTTCCTGATCAGCCGCCGTGCGCTGTGCGGGTTCGAGTCCCGTCCCAGGAGAAATGTTTCTCTTGGCCATGGATGTTGTGATTGTCCGTAGGTGGTAGATGGTCTCTGACTGTCGAACGCGGAGGTACCACCCGGCGGTTCTCGTAGGCGGAGCCAGAATGTGTGCATGTTGCATGCACACGTGTTCCCTCGCCAGAGTCCGTGTGGCGTCCCCCCTTTCCCATGTATCCCCCATAGCCCCACGGTACCCAATGGGTGCTTAGGCCTTAGGCCTTCGTGGTAGTTGGAGTATAAAAAAAAAAAAAAAAAAAACATATGAATCCGAACACCCAGTTTAAATGGTTTTATTTTAATAAAAGTTGGTGAATGTATTTATCTTACTGTAAATAACAAGTGAAAAAATTTTCAGCCTTATCAGTTGGACATTCCGGTTTTTATACTGCTTTTTTTCAATTCACTAACGCTCTAAAAATGAATATTTCAGCCGCAGTAAAGAATCAACGTTGGCGGATTTTGGTTCTTGACATCCTTTACGATCGGTTACGATGCCTAGAGTACGGAGACCTGTACGATTTCGTCAACTTAGTGAGTTTGATAGGGGCCGTATAGTGGGACTTCGGGAAGCTGGACTTTCTTTTCGGGCAATTGCAGTTAGAGTGCAAAGAAGTGTAGACACTGTGGTTAGGTGTTGTCAGGCATGGCTTCGAGAAGGCCGTACGCAAAGAGCAAGGGGCACTGGACGCCGCCGTAGAACAACAGACCATGAAGATCGCCGCCTAAGATTATTGGCCTTAAGGGACCGTTTCTCCACTACCAGGTCCATTGCAAATGAATGGTTCGCAGAACACGGAAGACCTATTGGCATGCGAAGTGTTTACCGACGAATGAGAAGTTTTGGCTTGTTTTCATACCGGCCACACTGGGTCCTCAATTTAACTCGAGAACACCGACGTAATCGCCTTGAGTGGTAGAGACAACGGTCATTCTGGGATCAGGAATGGAACAGTATTGTCTTTAGTGACGAGTCTCGATTTTGTTTAGGCATGCACGATGGTCGTGTCAGGGTTAGAAGGCGACGTGGTGAAAGGAGGAATCCACAGTTTTTTGTTGAAAGACATGTTCATCACACTGTTGGAGTTATGGTTTGGGGTGCTATAGCTTATGGTTCCAGGTCACCTTTAATCTTCATCAGAGGTAACATGAACGCGCAGCGTTATATCCACGAAGTTCTAGAACCCCATCTTTTACCCTATCTTGACACCCTGGCAGATCCAACTTTCCAACAAGATAATGCCCGACCACATGTTGCAAGAGTCACAATAGACTTCTTTCAACATAATGATGTCACATTGTTACCATGGCCACCAAGATCTCCCGACTTATCCCCAATTGAGCACGTGTGGGATATGATGGGTAGGAGATTGCTCAATTTGCAACGTCCTCCTCAGACTCTAGAAGCACTTCGAGAGGAGTTGGTGGTTGCCTGGAATGAGATACCACAGGAGGACATTGACCACCTGATCAGAAGCATGCCTAGGCGCGTTGGAGAATGCGTAGCACATCAGGGTGCATCTACACATTATTAAAGGTCAAAGGGCTTTAAAGCAGTGCAATCATTTTGAAATTTTTATCATTTACTTATTATGCTTCATTAAGTACTTATACAAAATTTTATTGAAATAAAACCATTTAAACTGGGTGTTGGGATTTACATGTCACTTAGTATATGTTATATTCATTCCACTTAAAATTCATTATTTTATTGCTTATTAAAAAAATGCCTCGATATTGGACAACCCTTTAGAAGCAGCGTAGGGTTAACAGCGTTTGAAGAAAAATATGTTTTGGAACAATAACAAATGTTAATGTTATACTGCAATTGACCGCGTCTTTTTGAAACTATATGCGGATTTTCTTCAGCGTAAACGTGTGTGTATGAGGTAAGTAGAAAGTCGAAATCACATCAAAAACAAAAATTACAAACAAACAAGATTAGACACACTTAAGTTCCTTAATTAACACAAGAGATCTGCCTAGATAACTGATTCGGTTAGAGAAACCGCACTCAAATCACTTTATCCACCATCGAGTAATTACGCTGCCACAAACAGACACACAGGTACATATGCTTTTGTGTCCTTGGCATAGTAGTAAGTTTGTATACAAATCCTCACGTTACAAGAGTAACATCCAATAATATAATAATATCTCATTTTCGCGATTACAATACTTCAGTTAACACAAAGATAAGCATACAAAAATATAACGAAACATTTAACGCGCATATGAAGAATGAAAAATGGAATGTTTTGTGATGGCATACTGCTACTACAAACAGATTAAGTACTTATACAAAATTTTATTAAAATAAAACCATTTAAACTGGGTGTTCGGATTTATATGTCACTTCGTATATAAAAGTTGCATAATAAAAGATTGAAAGTTTAAAAAACAAGAATGTTATTACACAAATTTTTTGCTATTCTGGACCACTGCCAAGTAACATCTCGTTTTTGCTTACCCCTCTTATCGTTTATCTAAATATGGCAAACTTTGCATGTTAATTTATGGTTATGCAAGAAAATGTAACCTCGTTTACACGACACAGTAGAAATTCAGAAATACCCCTGACTCTTTGAAGAACAGAAAAAGCTGTGAAAATGAAGAATGTCATAAGGACGTCCTGCAATTTTAGCGACGATACAGCCCTAGGATGCGTGCTCGTAAAAAGCGACAGCAAAGCAAAAACGATATTTATTCATATTCCAAGAAAAGGGCACGCTAAATATTCCGCAAGGCACAGTTTGCCCATTAAATAACTTGAAGCATTACAATTATCCGAGCTCTTTTATCCGCCATGATTTATAATGAAAATGTAACTTGCGGCTCAAAACAGCGTACGCGTCGCATACTAACCAGTCTTCCCGAACAGATCCACGCCACAGTACTTGAAATAATCTCCGGGGATCAGAAAATAATCCTTGGAGCATCTGAAACTGTCCTCGATCTGGAAATCGTTCATGAAAATTCGAACGGCACAATATCCAGGCTGGACGCGGAACCTGAAAACAAAGTATAGCGAATGCTTATACGAGGGATGTTGCATATAGAACCATGTTGTTTTATTTCCATATGCAAAACTTAAAAGACATCCCTCGTATTAGCTCACGCAGGTCAGCGTTGCAAAAAATCACAATTTTTTTGAAAAAATCAAAAATAGTTATTTATTATACAAGAGAAAAAAGTACTAGGTTTTAGGCTTAAAGAACTTGACAACAGTGAAGCTTTAAATGACATGATTACATTACGAAATGATTCGTAAGACATTTCAGTACCAAATGTCCACAAAAAACTAATTGATAAATTGGACTAAAAAATGAAAAATAAATAATAGTTAAAAAATAAAAAAAAGCACGTTTTTATAGCCAACCAAACAAAAAAGTAAAAAATAATCTTTAATTACAAAGAGCTTGTATTACAGTAGTAGATGGTCGAACAATCTATGATCCTTAATGACCTCAAAATAAAATTATAACAAAATTTAAGTTATTAACAGAATAATTTCATTAAGAGTAAAAAATTATTTTCTACTTTTAGTTCGGTTCGCTATTAAAGCGTGTTTTTTTTGTTTTTTTAAACTAGTATTTATTCTAAATAATAATAATAATAATAATAATAATTTGTTCATCCTGTGGAACACAAAGTGATATAGGATAAGTTAATTGAATATTAGTATGAACAGAATTTCCTACATACATAAATAACATACAAAACATCAAATAAAAACACGAAGTGTAAAAACATGGTAACGAATTAAAATAACAAATTAACAAATTAAAATACATACATTAAAACAGTTAAAAAAGACTATCACTCATTAAAAACTCTTCTATAGAGTAGACAGCTTTATCAAGTAAAATTTTTCTGATTCTTTCTTGAATGATATCAGCGGTAGTGATTTAAAATCAACGGGTAGTAAGTATTGTATACTAAGTGACATATAAATCCGAACACCCAGTTTAAATGGTTTTATTTTAATAAAATTTTGTATAAATACGTAATGAAGCATAATAAGTAAATGATAAAAATTTCAAAATGATTGCACTGCTTTAAAGCCCTTTGACCTTTAATAATGTGTGGATGCACCCTGATGTGCTACGCAATCTCCAACGCGCCTAGGCATGCTTCTGATCAGGTGGTCAATGTCCTCCTGTGGTATCTCATTCCAGGCAACCACCAACTCCTCTCGAGGTGCTTCTAGAGTCTGAGGAGGACGTTGCAAATTGAGCAATCTTCTACCCATCATATCCCACACTGTGCTCAATTGGGGATAAGTCGGGAGATCTTGGTGGCCATGGTAACAATGTGACATCATTATGTTGAAAGAAGTCTATTGTGACTCTTGCAACATGTGGTCGGGCATTCATGTTACCTCTGATGAAGATTAAAGGTGACCTGGAACCATAAGCTATAGCACCCCAAACCATAACTGCAACAGTATGATGAACATGTCTTTCAACAAAAAACTGTGGATTCCTCCTTTCACCACGTCGCCTTCTAACCCTGGCACGACCATCGTGCATGCCTAAACAAAATCGAGACTCGTCACTAAAGACAATACTGTTCCATTCCTGATCCCAGAGTGACCGTTGTCTGCACCACTCAAGGCGATTACGTCGGTGTTCTCGAGTTAAAGGGAGGACCCAGTGTGGCCGGTATGAAAACAAGCCAAAACTTCTCATTCGTCGGTAAACACTTCGCATGCCAATAGGTCTTCCGTGTTCTGCAAATCATTCATTTGCAATGGACCTGGTAGTGGAGAAGCGGTCCCTTAAGGCCAATAATCTTAAGCGGCGAACTTCACGGTCTGTTGTTCTACGGCGGCGTCCAGTGCTCCTTGCTCTTTGCGTACGGCCTTCTCGAAGCCATGCCTGACAACACCTAACCACAGTGTCTACACTTCTTTGCACTCTAACTGCAATTGCCCGAAAATAAAGTCCAGCTTCCCGAAGTGCCACTATACGGCCCCTATCAAACTCACTAAGTTGACGAAATCGTACAGGTCTCCGTACTCTAGGCATCGTAACCGATCGTAAAGGATGTCAAGAACCAAAATCCGCCAACGTTGATTCTTTACTGCGGCTGAAATATTCATTTTTAGAGCGTTAGTGAATTAAAAAAAAAACAGTATAAAAACCGGAATGTCCAACGGATAAGGCTGAAAATTTTTTCACTTGTTAATTACAGTAAGATAAATACATTCACCAACTTTTATTAAAATAAAACCATTTAAACTGGGTGTTCGGATTTATATGTCACTTAGTATATATACGACTATATTCTGGTTTCCTAATATCTATTAATCATATTTATAGTTTCTTTACACTCTACTTAAAGCGCCTTCCTCTTTTCTGTATGTTTTCTTTTTGTTTCACTGTGTAAATTAAACCATTGTACTATGCATTGCTCTCTAAATGGTACCAGGTACCTGGCAATAAATGCTTTATTATTATTATTATTATCACTTGTTTTACTGTGAAATAGAAATCACCCATCGTACTCGTATATGCTGAGGTGACGACACAGTCCTTCCGCTAGTGACCCTAATTCTGGTGGTCCGTACACTCTGTCCAAAAATAAATTCCATCAATTGAATCTGTGCGAATTTCAAGTATCGCCGTTTTTCTAAATTAATTGAGTTTGCCTCAGTGGGAGGATGCGACCACAGCATACCCCCACTTTTTGACGGAAAGAAATACATTATTAAAACTTTTCATTCCGATTACATGAAGTTCGTTATTCAGTCATGAGTCGTGTTGTCGCTACACGACTCTTTAGAAAAAGAAGAAAGAAACAACTTTAATACTCTTTTGTTACAGTGACGCCCTGCAGCTGCCAAACCTGCGCCATATCTACAGGTAAGTTTTAACTTGTTTCGCTAGACTTTGAAGTATAATCGTCGTATCTTGTCAGGGTGACCCAGAGAATGTCAGTATCTCCGAAGCATATGGACAAAAATTAATGTCAGAAGTTTCTATAAAAAATGTGATAAGCAGCTTCCTTACATATACGAGCCCTGTCTGTATCAAAATTACGTTTTTCATGAAATTTGTCTTATTAGCAGAAACGATTTAAAAACGAAAATCTGTTTCTGATAAAATACGATATTTTTATTTAATATTAGCCTAAAATAATAGATTACCTTGTAGCAAAGAAAAAAAATCTTGCACATAAAAAAAACTGCCGAGTAATAAAAATCAACGAAACCAAATAGCAGCAAATCACATGTTACATCGCCTTTTCGACTGATTACTGCTTCGATATGTCCTGACATAGTGCTAATGTTTGCCAGTCATCTGGTGGTACACTGTTCCAAATTTCTTGGAGACGGCTTCACAATTCTGGCACGGTTCTTGCTGGATTCGATCGGAGTTTATTCTTCCTGATATGCCACAAGGTTTCAATCGGCGATAGATCTGGACCACTCGACGTCCATTTTAAAACAGAAATATTGTTTTCTAACATCCAATCTTTTACTTTTTTAGCCGTATTACAAGCCGCACTATCTTGTTGGAAGACAGATTCAATATTGTTTAAACGTATTTGTTCAATTTGTGGTATTAAGTTATTTTGAAGCACATTATGGAGTTCCATTGGTTCGAAGACCAAAATTTGTGTTCTTTGGCTCACGCTGGTCTGTTTTTCTTCGGAGTGTTTATCAGTAAACGAATAATAAAAAAATAATTTCAGCCTACCTCATAAGTTTTAAATCCCAGTTTTTGGGCAACTCTGTGTTTTAAGGCGCTTAAGTTGGTATTGGAATAACGCGATTTTCAGTTCTGGGTTTATGAGCCACAGATCCCGATAATTTGATAATATTTCGAACTGTACAGGTATACCTCGATTTGTTAACAGTGTCAGCGATTTGGGAAGCATTTTGACATTTTAAATGCAAGTGAGTGATCACTTTTCGTATTTCGTCAGAAGCAGCTTCACCACCAGCCATTTTTAATTGTTAACAACACCGATACATTGAACGTTTATTTGAACGTCAAAAATGAGCTTCTCAGCAACGTAAAATGTTATCTTTCCATAAACATTTAAAGAAACCAAAAATATTATATTTGAAATAAAATTTTAATTAGTCCTGAAATAAATTCATAAACATGTTTTGGGGCGTTAGGCCAGCTAGACTGAAACAGGGGCTCGTATATAGGCTCCTGAAAGTATGCTAATGTAACTCGGCTTTTCTTTGAACAACACTGTGTGTTTAAGGAAATTTGGAAGTGTAGTGACCAGTTGGGGCCTCATATAATATTTTCCAGGAATGGGCAAGCCCTTGAGTAATATTGTTCATATTTTTTTCACCCTGTATAATAATCGCTCAAAAATAATGATGAGTTTTTAAAGTGAACTAGAGAACAAACCTAGTCAGGTTTCCCAGACACTAAATTAATCGGTGTCAAAAGAACAAAAAAGACATTACTTTTTGCTCTTTGAAAATATTCAAAAATTACCCCTACTTAGGAATTGAAATAATCGCAAAATCTTATGGTTGAGGTTTTCGACCAATGTTCGATATTTTTTCTGAATTTTAAATTCTCCTCCATTTCCTGGATTGTGTCTAATAAATTGTATTGGATAAAAAAGTAAAAAATAATGATGAGTTTTTGAAAGTGGACTAGAGAACAAACCTAGTCGGGTTTCCCAGACACTAAATTAATCGTTGTCAAAAGAACAAAAAAGACATTACTTTTTGCTCTTTGAAAATATTCAAAAATTACCCCTACTTAGGAATTGAAATAATCCCAAAATCTTATGACTGAGATTTTCGACCAATGTTCGATATTTTTTCTGAATTTTAAATTCTCCTTCATTTCCTGGATTGTGTCTAATAAATTGTTTTGGATAAAAAACTAAAAAATAATGATGAGTTTTTGAAAGTGAACTAGAGAACAAACCTAGTCAGGTTTCCCAGACACTAAATTAATCGGTGTCAAAAGAACAAAAAAGACATTACTTTTTGCTCTTTGAAAATATTCAAAAATTACCCCTACTTAGGAATTGAAATAATCCCAAAATCTTATGACTGAGGTTTTCCACCAATGTTCGATATTTTTTCTGAATTTTAAATTCTCCTTCATTTCCTGGATTGTGTCTAATAAATTGTTTTGGATGAAAAACTGAAAAATAATGATGAGTTTTTGAAAGTGAACTAGAGAACAAACCTAGTCAGGTTTCCCAGACACTAAATTAATCGTTGTCAAAAGAACAAAAAAGACATTACTTTTTGCTCTTTGAAAATATCCAAAAATTACCCCTACTTAGGAATTGAAATAATTCCAAAATCTTAGACTGAGGTTTTTGACCAATGTTCGATATTTTTTTGTGAATTTTAAATTCTCCTCCATTTCCTGGATTGTGTCTAATAAATTGTTTTGGATAAAAACTAATTCGGACAAAGTGTCGAACTTTGATCGAGAACTTAGAATTTGGGGTCATTCTAGCCCCTAAATATAAATATTTTCAAAAAACAAATTTTTATTTTTTATAACGATTAATTTGAAATCTGGTAAGCTTCTTTAGGTTTATACTCAAGCTGTTAAAATAAATCAATCTTCACAAATAATTTCTACAGAATAGACTATAGCGACTTGTAGTAATCAATAATATTTAGAAATATCCAAAAATGGATAAACAGCTTAGTTTTCGCGCCAAACAAGCCAACGAAGCTCTCCATATTGTACAATTAATTTTAACTTCCCCTCTTACTCGCGGGTATATCTCAATCTGTAACCACAGAGTCAATTTACTTGGCGCCATGTTTTACCTGCGGATATTTTCATCATCAGTATTTACATAGGTGGCGAAATGTAACTTGTCCTTTAGTAGCGAAAAAAGATAACTTCTGGGCAAGCTTATTCGTACACAACTGCTGACTCAATATGTATAGTTTCAAAATGCTGTTTCTTAATGAGGTGACAGCTTTGGAACCATGGATGAAAAACGAACATGACCAATTTAGCTGTGAAATTATCCTAGTAGTTAATATGTATTACCTGTAGCACACATTCAGATTCCCAGGATAGTAAAATGGATATCCGGGGCTCTTGAAGTATCCCCTCAAATAATCTAATTCTATACATCCCTCGCCGGTATTACTTCTGGCACTGTTTCTGCATTTCTCGCTATAAGGAGAATAATTCCCATTTTGGTTGCACTCGAATTTATCGTACCTTGGATTCAATGTTTCTTTTTGTGTATGATGAATTCTTGGAATGACTTCAGGATCCGAATCTTCAGGCGCGGCGAAGAAATAGATGCTTTTGATGATGGCTGGTCTGATTTCAGGATCGCTGTCGTCGTCTAAGATTTCAGTACGTTCGTTTACCAGTTGTAGTTTTTGGATGTCTACTAACACATCCTGAAATTTATAACAGTCATTTTTGCTGTATATCTTATTGGCGATATAGCTTTCGATCATCCAATCACAGATGACCAACGATGGACAATTGTTTCGTGCTTTTTGGCTATTCATCAGAATGATCTAGGCTTGGTCTCTATCCATGATATAAGGTATTGATCATTCAAAAGAAAAAACGAAAAATGGAATAACAATAACTGAATCAGAAATTTTTTGATACACAACTCGACTCCACCTGTCAACATAGCAGATGTGCCTCAAAAAATTTCTGGTTAGGTCAATGTGATCGAATTCTTCGTATTTTTTTTTAAATATCAATACCTTATATCATGGATAGAGGTTCGTTGCTGAGCTTTGGTTAATCGTCGTACCTGAGAGGAAGCCTAGACCATGCTGTGATAGGTAGATACCTATAGGGTGATCTAACTAACTAACTAACTATTGCTCCTAAAAATGTTTTCAAAGGAAATATATGTCCTATTCACAAAAGTAGAGATATCTTTGATATTTCCAGCTATCGCCAAATAGCAATCCTGTGCAATTTCAGCAAGTTGTTTGAGATCATCGCTTATGAAACGGTTTACTGCTCGGTCAGGGGTGCAGTCTCTATTAATCAGCATGGGTTTATGAGAGGCAGATCTACGGTCACCAACTTGGCTCTAATTACTCAATACATTTCTGAAGTACTGGACGGTCAGGGACAAGTTGATGTCATCTACACAGATATTCAGAAGGCTTTTGATCAAGTTGATCATTATGCACTTCTGGATAAGCTTAAAACAGTGGGTATGTCTGATGCAATGCTGTCGCTCATGAATTCATATTTGAGGGATAGAAGGTTATTTGTCGAATATGGTGGTCATAGGTCGAGTTACTATCGGGCAACGTCTGGGGTACCTCAAGGGTCAAATCTAGGTCCATTATCGTTTTTAATATTTATTAATGACTTGTCTTTTGAACTGAAGTGTTTCCATTTGTTTTTCGCTGATGACCTTAAAATCTGCACGTCAGTCAAGACAGTCGAGGATTGCGTCATGTTGCAAGATGACTTAGCTCTAATTTCGTCATGGTGTTCACGAAACTGTCTCAGTCTGAATGTTTCGAAATGTAAAGTTATGACTTATACAAAAAAAGTGAACTATTTAATTTATGATAATTATAACATCAATGGTCAGGTTATAGACAGATGCACCTCTTATAGAGACCTTGGAGTCATTTTTGATACCAAGCTAACGTTTACTGAGCATATACTCAATATCTCGTCGGCTGCCACTCGACTACTTGGTCTCTGTATCAGAAACTAGAAGGGTTTCGCCAATGTTGATACAATGACTTTATTTTTTACTTTTGTCAGGAGCAAGTTGGAGTATGCGACTCTGATCTGGTCTCCTATATACCAAAATTCTGTCGTGATCCTTGAGGCCATTCAACGTAAAGCTTTAAAGTATTTTCACCTTAAATGCACAGGTTCTTATCCAGAAAGAGGTTGTGACCATAGTGCCCTATTAGAGTCTTTCAATTTGGATTCACTGTCAACAAGACGAAACATATTTGCTTTGTCGTTTTTGTATGGCCTCATTCACAATAAAATTGACTGTCAAAATTTACTTGAAAAAATATGTTTCCGCGTTCCAAGGCTAGGGAGTCGACAACAAATGACATTCTATTGTCAAGCTGGCCGTACAAATGTTATGACAAAATCGCCAATTAATCTCATGTGCTGCGTCATGAACAGTTTTACTGAATCGTGTGATATTTACAGTGACAGTCGTGCATCGATTATTAACTGTTATAGATCATCCAATCTTATTTAGAATGTGTGATACTATAGATTTAAGTCCAAGAACCATGTCTCTTTAATTGTTATTTTTTTCAGCGTTTCCTGTAATTGGGTTTCACCTGTTGGAAATAAATAAATAAACTATTAATGGATTAGGAGGGATATTTATAAAATATTCAAAATTATACAGGGAGTGCCAATTTCGACACGCATATCAAAGTTGGTTTTTCTAAAGTGGATTGCCATACTTTTTATTACACAATTGGGTAGGTCCCTTACAGGTTCTTAGTTGTTGAATTAGTAGATATTGTATTTAAAAAACATCAACCTAGCCTACACATCTGCCATGTTGGCAGGTGGAGTCATGAATCTTGAGTCTTTGGCTCAAAGTTAACCTGATTCATCGATTTTTATAATTTTTTGGTCGATCAATACAGGGTGGTCAAACACGCAAAATGTACTTTTTCGTAAAAAAAATAAACGGAACACCCTGTATATTTTGCACTACTTAATATTACGTTGTTACCAGTTTATTCCAACGCTTTTGCGTTATAGCTATTCGCTTAAAAAAATTGGATATTTCTCTACTCAAACAAGTCTCATCATCGATCGAAACAAAAAACAAGTAAAAAAGTATTGACAATCGTCTATAAAATCAAGCTTTTATCAAGCAACCAATTAATTCAATGCTTTTGTTTTGAATGAACATTATCCAAATCGCTGGATCCGTCGAAATGCTGCTGATCCTCAAAAATGGCCAGCAAGATCTCCTGACCTCAATCCGATAGATAGCTAGCAAGTAGCTATAACGCAGAAACCTTTTGAACATGCCGGTATCAAAAAGCTCATGAATATGCGGCTCCTATCGTGCAAAAATATACATGGTGTTCCATATATTTTTTTTGCAAGAAACTATATTGCGTTTTGGACCACCCTGTATTTGATCCTTAAACAAATTCGGAAAATTGATGAATCAGAATAAACTTTAGTAAAACAAAAAAATTTCTGACACATGACTCCACCTGTTAATATAGCAGGCTCTCAAACTTTGATGTTTTTGAATCCATTAATTCGGAAACTAGTAACTAAAACCTATAAGCATGCCATTTCAATATCGTCTTTTGAAAAGAACCTATCCTATTTGTAAAAAACTGGAACATTCCATTTAAGGATAATGACCCTTAAGCTTAAAGTAGACTTTAATAGGTAATCTTTCAGAAGAAATTTGACTAAAAGAATTTATTTAATAAGTAAATGATTTTCTTCACTACGCCCATGGTTTGTTTATCATTTTGTTGTTGAAAATAGCTATTGGAGCGTTTTTTTGTGGCAGAAAAGTTATTTCTTGAAGAAAGATAAGGAACTATATCGTACTTATTTTAAATAGGAATTTAGTACATAGTTTGCGATTGATTTGACCTAACTTTGTTGCTAAAATAACTTGCAACGCTCTATTACATAAATTAACCTTGGTATATTCCACAGCAGAAAGAGTTGAAATTATCGAAATATTTTTCGGAAATAATCTGTGCGCTAATAGAACAGCAGAAATATTTAATGAGTGACATGAGAACAGTAACGTGCATCGAAAGTATGTTCTAGAACTTGTAGCTAAATTTCGGGAAACTTATTAAGTAAATTCTTTTAGTCAAATTTCTTCTGAAAGTAGTAAAAACTAATCTGATGTACCTATTAAAGTCTACTTTAAGCTTTAAATCGGCAAATCTTCAAAACTACTGAACTGAAGCTCATGTGTTTTACATCATTATAAAGGGAATTGAAAGACCTTTAAAATAAGGTATCACTCGACCCCCCTTTCCATTTAAGATTTTAGGGTTGGTGTCACCCCCGCCCAGGGGGCTGCACGAGTTAACGTGATTTTTTGCCAAACTTGTGTCCCCCTCGAAAACAAAATCGACGGATCTGAGCGTTTTTCCAAAAAAAAAACTGAGCTGCCAGTAAATGCGTCTGTTTCGTTTATGTCAAATAAACATTTCAAACATTTCTACAAACCGTGACAATCGCACAACTTTGAAAGTGAAATCAACACTAGCTCGTCTGCTTAAAGAAACCTTATTTAAACTCACCGTTTTCGTTGTTTCCTCGACGTCTTTGAACCTCGTCTTCAATCCAACATCACAATCCGATCTTTTCACGAAAACTTTCACGGTCGAGTCATTCCTGATTTTAAGCTGCAAGATAAGCGCCCCATTACCAGCAAAATATCTCGTTATACCATGCACTGTCCCGCAAACTGCGACTCCGTTCACTTCAAGTTTCTCCTCGCTACAATTAGCGGAGTCTTTGAGCTTGAATTCCTCGAAATCCAAAGTGTAGTAAGTCGGACAATTCGGTCCCTCAAATCTGAACTTACAAGTCTCATTAGAGGCTGAGTTGTTTGGAAAGCGTAAAGCGAACTCTTTGTCAGTAATAACCCTGCTACAATTGCTGTTTGCGAACGTGAACAGAGGAAGCTCTAGCGAGAATAAAAACAGTACGGCGAACATTCTTGAGATGCTTGTTATTTGATGGCTTGAAAGCGTTTGATTTGAAGTTACATGTGGACCTTCAAATTTAGTTGGCTTGTTGGTTGTAGATCAACAAAGGATTGTAGTTTGGCAGCGGTCAGGACCGTATTCAGGACATTTTGCGTTGTAGGAATTACGCAGTTCTCAAAAAGGAAATATAGGATGTTAAGCATCTAATTACTAGCAATTTTGTTGTATAATATCCGGGAAGTGAAATTAAGTGTCAGTGAGAGCACCAGCCTTACTATTTGTGAGTGCATTATTTACTGGGAAAAGGCACGTATACTTTATCTGAAGTCACTTGAAACACTGTGAAATACCGGGTGCGTTTTATATATCTATATTTAACACGCTCTGTTGCTGCAAAAATCGCCAAATTTCGCAGCAAATATCCCCCGTATAAGATCAAAGGTAGTTTCACCGGTCCACGTGGAGTAAAGCACGCCTATGCGTCGACATAGCCAATGAGAAAGCGTGTATTTCAGAGCTCCGAACAAGTGCAGGTGGCTACTGAAAATTGAAACAGTTTAGCCAGTGCCGTGTAGCGGTGAATAAACGTGTTTTCTTTAGTCTGTCCGTGTTTTTTCATAGATTTTATTAGTTTGTGTGTTTTTGACTTTTGAATACTCAGTTTACTTGTTGATTTAATTGTTGTGTTGATTGTTCTTGTGTGTCCTAAATATGGCTCTTTGGAGACCTTGGGAAAATGCTCCAAGCCAGGAGGAGATGGTTGATGAACCTGTGCAGGCAGAATTCTTTCATAAAGATTTAGAGGAACAGACCCAAAGAGTAATCCTAAATATGTATGATTGTCTGAAAATCAAATTTTAAACAGAATTTGTATCCTGACAAAAATCAGTCGGTCTACCATTTATCGGGTTATAAAAAGGGGAGATGTAGTCAATCATTCCTTCCACAGAAAGCGCATAGGGCAAAAATTAAAAAGAATAGACGTGGGTTTTCAGGAAGATATTCGTCGTATAATATACGGATTTTATAAAGAAAATTTGTTGCCCACGTTGGAAATGATACGGGATAAATTAAAAGATTATCCTGAAGATTTTTATAATTACAAATGCTTAGACTCACTGCACTGTATTGTAAAACTGTTTTCAATACAAAAAATTAGATAAAAGAATGGTGATTATGGAGTCGTCTCGAATCGTTGAATTGCGCCAAGAATTTTTGCACAAAATTAAAATCTATAGAGAGCAGAAAAGAAATCTGATTTACCTGGATGAAACGTGGTATGATACCCATGATGTTGTGCAGTACGGCTGGGTTGACGACAGCAACAAGTGCATTTTAAATGCACCATGCAACCGTGGAAAACGAATCATTATTCTCCATGCTGGCAGTGAAAATGGATTTATACCTAATGCCTTGCTGTTATCTGCCAAAAATATCAAAGAATCATGTGCCAACTATCATGAGGACATGACCTCCGACTTATTTGAAAAGTGGATAGAACAGCAGTTAATACCAAACATTTCCCCAAATTCAGTGATTATTATGGACAATGCGCCATACCATTCCCGACAGAAAAACAAAATTCCGAATACAGGCACAAAAAACAAGACATTATTGATTTTATGAAGGATAAGGGAATGGAAATACCACAAAAATCAACCAAGCCATATTATTGGATCTTATTAAAAGACAAAAATTTGAAAAAGAGTATGTTGTTGACAATCTGCTTCAGCAAAATGGCCATGAAGTATTACGTCTACCTCCCTATTACTGCATTTTTAACCCGATTGAGTTGGTCTGGGCTGCTTTAAAAAAAAAGTAAGAAAACATAATCAGACCCCTTAATTAAGTGAATCGCTATTGGCCACAATAAGAGATCTCATATTGCTGCCACAGACCTATGGAAGCAGTGTTCTAGGCATATTATTGAAAAAGAAAATGAATATTGTGTTTTGCCTCCTGTAAATCCCGTTGTAATTCCTCTACAAGATGACTCTAGCGACAGCTCCGAAGGCGAGGATGATATATAAATACCTATAATGTAAGTCTTTATATACCTTTTTATATACCTACCTGCTATGTAAATATTTGCCTATGTCAAACGTTGGAATTCTGTAATTTTTCAATTTCTTAACTTTCAGTCAACATAAATTAAACTCCCAATATAAGTATTTTTTATCCCAAATCAAAAAAATAAGAAGATAGTAAAATCCATTTATTGTGATATAAAAACATTATTATTATCGTTCTAAATAAATGTTACCGCACGCCTATGATACGTCATGAAATTACAAAGGACGCGCCGACCAAAGGTTTTTATGCTATTTCAAGTGACTTCAGATAAAGAATACTTCATTATTTTCTGTTGGAAGTGATTAGGTACTCAGAAATATCTTTGAGGTACCAGTTGAATGTCTCATAGAATCGGATATTTCATAAGTAGCTGTTTTTGAATCACTCTTTGAAACAATGTCTTAATTTGTAATGTAAATATCTTCTTCAACAAAGACGACAAGGATTTCATTTTGTAATCCATCTTCTCCCTGAACGCACTCTTTCGTTCGATTTTTGAACCAATGATTTTTCATGACCCCGCACACGTTTCATTAATAGTGACTAAATATACAGGGTGTAAAAGTTATGATAGCCATTATTTAAATGGGTAAATAGAGTAAATAAAGATGGAGTTTGTTATTTTTGGCTCTTAGGTATTATTTCATTATTTGATAATGAACTCGTAAAATGCAAACAATTAAAAAAACGGACTTACCACTAACTGTCTCAGCGCTTCACCTGGTGTGTGAAAGTTTATTGAACGTATTAAAAAAATCCACTTATAAATAGGGAACACAATTTTGATACATACGTTGTTTTTCTTTTTAAGATCCACACTGCACTTTTTTTTGTATTCAAATAAGGTGTTCAAAATGTCGTCCTCCACTTCCCACACAAGCTTCGTTACGACGAACTCAGTTTCTTCTTACTCTAGGTTCTCGAAGTTCTCCATTTATTGTTGTGCTTCAGTTGTTATTGGACGAGCTCCATAAACCATCCCTTTAAGTTCTCCCCAATACCAGAAATCCATTGGATTGAGGTCAGGAGATCTTGCTGGCCACTATCGAGGATCAGGAGCATTTCGACTGATCCAGCGATTTGGATAATGTTCATTGAAATAATGAATGACGCGTCTAAAAATGTGTGATGGTGCCCCGTCATGAAGAAACCACAAATTCTATCTCCATTGTAATGGCATGTTACCTAAGGTCTGTTCCAAAAGTTCTGGTAGGTTATTGGCTAGAAAGCTAAGGTATCCTTCTCCCGACAACTTTGGAGGTAACTCGAAAGGGCCAATTACCTGATCGTCAAGAATACCCGCCCAAATATTTATTTTAAAACGTTGTTGGAAATGACCTTCACGAATGGTATGAGGATTTTTTTGGGCCCACGTGTGAGTATTATGGAAATTTAATGTCCCATCTCGCGTAAAAGTACATTCGCCCGTCGCTAGAATGTTTTTAAAAAAGCCGGATTTTCAATGTTTTTGTGCAGAAACCATTGACAGAATGTTAGTCTGCGAGGATAGTCTTCTGGTAACAAGGCCTGCACTCGTCCTACATGGTACGCATAAAGCAAATTTTCCGGTAGAATTCTATGGTATGCGATAGTCCTACGCGGTGGCCTAATTCCCGAGTGTTGATATCTGCCTTGATTTCCACGATATTTAAAATTTGTTCCTCCTGCGGCGAACTCTTGATTCGAGAACATTGTATAAATAAACACGACGACGTACGCGAACAAAAACAAAACAACACGCCCGATGCTCAGAACGATAAAGTAATTTATCTATGCAAAACGATAACTAACCACTGTTACCGTTTGCGATCGATTGGCGGTTCGATAAGAGTGAAGAATGACCGACGCGCTGTTGTCATGTGTGTTTTAAATTTTTCATTTAATGAAACTTACTTACTGACTACAAATTTTTGCTTAACTTAGAAAAACTTAATGCCATTTATTTGTTAATTACCCAATTCAAAAACGTTTTAGATTAGATTATAAAAATTAGTAAGATTGTGGTGATTGTGGTCGATATAAAGCACTTAAAGTTGTTAACTATAAAGCCATTGAGACAAAAATCTATTGACTTTTGGACCATGAGTCATATGAACTTTTTGACTTGTTTTGACCTCCCTATTATCCATTTCAATGATGACTACCATAACGTTTACACCCTGTATGCCGCTTAATATTTGAATCCAATAATTATCAATGAATAATTTAACGTCAGAGCCAGTCACAAAACTCTAGAAGCTTCAGCGTGGGACGTGTTATAAATACCTATCTTTAAACCGATATGAAGGTAACTGATATAATGTGCCACTTTGTTATGGGGTTTGGAAATGCTTTGTCTTGGGTAATGATATATTCGTGATGGATTAGAACGTACAAGTGATGTTTATATGTATATTATGTACAAGCATTTATACCTTGTCGATGTAGACATGAGGTGAACAGTCTGTATTTTGGATACAGCTAGGGTGAATGAATCTTCAAGGCGGGTTGAAAACGGAGAAGACAAAAACAGCTCTGGGGGTTAAGTTCTGAAACTGAGGGAGTATAACAACTAATAGTAACATCAATAGGAGTGTCGCTCTCCGGATCGTTCTCAGGAGAAAAACTGTGGAAGTCTGACGCTATACGTATACTAATCAGTCACCATGAGCTACGCGGATTCGAATCCCGTCCCAAGAGTTTGTTTCTCTTGGCCATGAATGTCGTGATTGTCCGTGTATTGTAGACGGTCTCAGAGCGTGAAGGTACCACCCGTCGGATCTCTAAGGTGTGCACGTGTTGCATCCCCTGTACCCCTACAGTACTCTCAGGCTTCAAGCATCGTGGTGGATCAGGGATGAAAAATCGTCCATGGAAAATTTAATAATAATAATAATAATATTTATTCACTCAATGTACAAAGATAACAAACAATATGAGTAAATAAATATAAAGTCAAAACAGGCCCAATAGAAGGCAT